CATATGTTAGGAGAGAAGTTCAACTTTGACACCCAGAGGATGTGTTACAGGTCACAGCTCTGCACTGGCTGCCATTAGTGTCACTCCCTTCTGTCTGGACTCATGTCTCCACTGGTGCTTTGGGACTACAATACAGATGGTTTTAGCATCAGAAAGAGAACTTGACTGACACTTTGGTGCTGCCATGTTTCATTCTCATTTACTCATTTCATTCTCATTTAATATTGGTGGTTTTAGCATTGCATACTTATAGTAGTGCAGCGGAAGGAACAATCGTGACTCTGCTCTGGGCATCAACACACTCTTGAAAGGCTACTGGTTTCCAACTGGTCACCTAAGGTCTCTTTACCATAGAGTGGGTATTACTGGACAAACTTATCAGCACATTATCCATTCACGTTGGCTCAGAACTTTTCCTCAGAGAACAGCTCTCAGGGAAACACAAAGGCCTTCTGGACTGACAGAGCCCTTGGCACATGTCACTGCTTCATGACTGGGAACAACAACATTGTATTCCATTTAATAAAAATACCCAGAGGGTGCTTGCAGCTCAGATCACTTCAGTTTTACACTAATACCTTTTGTCATTAAGTTTCATGTCAGGCCATGGTTTGAATCCTTCAGCTGAAATCCAAGCTACAGAGGGAAGAGAGGTTGTCATACACTTGGTACTAAGAGGCTTTAACACCAAGGAAGTACAGGAAGCCACAGAGCTGCTGGCCCAAAGCCCCAACAGGAACATATGCAACTTTGTAGTGCTGCAAAGGGTGGACAGGAGAGAAATTTGGCATTTGGGCAACTTAGTCCTCAGATACTGAAGCTTACTTCAGACAGGGAACGGTCTCATTTTGACAAGCAAAGCATGGGACATCAGACTTGTAAAACTCACTGAAGGCAAGATGTACAGCAAGGTTGGTGCCTTGCATATCACCTCTAAAATCAAGTGTGCCTGGATAAAAGAACTCAAAGCTTTTGTAGTCAAATATTGAGTTCCCCAGGAGATCTCTGAGAGGAGAGCACGCCTCCTGCACCTTCCTTTAAGTCAATAGTAGCAATACATTATCAGATTGCCTGTTTTTCCAGATACATTAAATCTAGTGTGACAAAGGTGAAAATGTTAGCTGTTTGCAGCCTGACACAGAGTCAGCAAAATCCTGGGCCCTTCAGAAGTATCAGCTTTGATTTTAAATCATGTCATACTTCAGGAGAGAGGACATGCAGTCACCTCACCTGGTGGGCTCCTTCAGTGACAGCTTCATTTCAGCCTTCAGGCAGCATGAGCTTGCGAAAATCAGTCCAGAATCCAGTTTTGCTGAGCTGTGTTCACATGAAACCACATCAACAGAATCTCCAGGCTTAAAAATGAGTTTAGTGCAAGACGCATCTTGCCCTAATCTATGATTTTAAACAAATAGGTTACATTTTCCCACCTTCTGGAGATGTCAACTTCCCCCACCTTAGTTATTGAGGGAGAAGTTTCTGTTCCAATGTGCACTCATATATTAAATAACTAAAACTTGAGCATCCAAATTCCACCAAAAGAGCTTGTAGGAAAGACAGGGCCTTTTTGAAGTGTAAATTACAAATATTCAAAGTAAAATATAATCTATATTTGTTTGCCTTCAACCCAACATAAACACACTAAACTGGCTGACCTACACGGTGTGCAAGTGTTTCCTGGCACAGTAACACCATCAGTTACAACCATCAGCTGGTGAGACTTTGTAATAAAGCTGAGCAGAAGTGTCTAAATTGCATGGAACTGCACTGGGGAAAGAGGGAGCCTTGGATCCTAAAAATAGGATAAATAATGATGGGAGGTGAATTTCCCATCCCTTCACTTTTTGGGGAGAGCTGAGAAGCATAAAAAATTGAAGGGGTAATGAGGCAAAACAGGGAAGAAGAACATCATAAATATCTCTTCCAGCTTCCCTTCTGGAAGAACTCTTGAATCTGATCTCAAGGACTTCAGCCATGGAAAGCATCAAGAGCTGCATCAGTGTTAGTTACACAGCATCAGCCTCATTCACACTCATGGCTAATTTAGAATAAGATTGTTAAAGACTAATTGTTTGAATAAGTAGTGTTAATGACTGATAGTGATTAAGTGCTAACCCTTGGCAGTGTATATTTTCTAATGAGTGTCAATCTAGAAAAGTGCTGTTTTGAAGTTGGAAACACACTTGATTTATCAGATGTTTAAACACTCCAACCACAGCAATTGCTACTTCCCTCACTGAAATACTCACATACTGTGTGGATATTCATTTGTAATAAGTTGTTACATTCCAAATGACCATCAGAAAATTTAGTACACAAACCCATTGAAATTTAGGAAGAATTTCAAGCCAAAGCTCTGCATCCCATTCAAACACATCAAAACTGAGCATTACTGCTGCATCAGCAAGCCTGGCAACCTTCAGACTTTGTGACAAATTGGTGCATGGATTAAAAATCCAGTTGGATTCCCTCTGCCTAGAGACACAGCTGTAGGACCAGGATTTCTTCCATCAGCTTTAGAAGCCAAGATTTTTGATGAAGACCATAAAAGGGAAACTGCTACCTCAGCAGGTGTGACTCTAGTGCTGGCTAATCCACTGTGGAGACACATAATTCTGTTTTGCAGCACAGAGAACCTATTTCTAACCATCCTGTGCTAAAACAAAGATTTTCTAACAAAGGACAAACACAATCAAAATTACATGATCTCACTTGTGTGATGACTGTCATGGTACAATGGCTGCTGTACATCCTTCTGACACAGAATGGGAATGGGCTCATGTGAATCTTCACCAAGAGGATTGGATATCAGTAAAAAAGGTGTAGTAGGAAAAAAGCATCTTGATGCCAAAGCCAGATAATACCTATTATATAATATTATAATACTTATTACAGAAATATCTGTTTATGTTTTGTTTATTTGTAATTGAGGGTTTGTTTGGTTTGTTGCTTTTGGTTATTTTTTTGGGTTTTTTTTAACTAAGGATAATTAACTACTCAACAAAACCATGAGGAGAATAGGAAATTAGAAAAATACAATGGTCCTTGATTAATGGAATAGGATAAGCAAGTCAGTTGTCCATTCTGCCCTTGAAATCAATGAGTTATCACAACTCACAGCAGAGGAGAGAGGTTGTTGGAATTTTTTTCCTTAAAAGTAAGAGCAATCAGTGCTGATTAATCAGCACCAGACTAGGCATTTGAGAGGGTCCACAACTGCAACTGTAAGCACTTATAAATTCCTGTCTTGGCTGCATGTAATGATGTTTTACAGAATAAGAGCTACATACTTAGTACACAAAGTCTGACAGTCTGGCTTAGTACTGTTTGCTTTATATCTGGAAGGAAAGGCTGGTTTTTACATGCCAGCTTTGACTTTTAAAGTTCATTTGAAACCACTTGTTTCTAAGTGGTAGCATCTAAGTTGGCATCACAGCTGAATTTTCCCTTGTTCAACTGAAAAAAGTTAATACTGCGTCATTTTATTCCTACTTGGAACAGAAAACCTGCTTATAAACTGCATGTAATATGAACCTTTAGCAATTAAAAATCCCTTATACAAGCCTAATCCAAAGAGAAAGTACAGAAGAAATGGGAAGAAGGGCTGCATTTGTGTTGGAAGTAACCCAGCTTGGAAGATGAGCAGCTTTCCTTGCCATGAGAGAGAGGTGCTGCTTCTACCTGCCTGCACAAGGACCAGCAGTAGTGATGGGTACAGACTGGAAAGCCTGAACAGTGCCAGGGGGTGGCATTACAGGTGTCAGGCTGAGTCAGAGAAATGTGCTCTGAATGGCTGGTGCCAGAATGCAATTATTTAAGAGGTAAAAAAACCCAATAGGAAATAAACCCCAATGAAAGAGGATTAGATGGCGGACAAGATTATCCTATAAACAGGCCCTCACTTTTGCTTCCTTTTAATACAGCTGGGGGCCAAGGAAACCCATGTTTCCAGTGCTAATGGGCCTTGTTGAAGGCATTAAGACATTTTATAAAGAATGAGAGGCTGAGGGATTAGGAGCGACGGGGAATTCACTGAGTGTTCATGAATTAGCATCAAAGGATGTCTGCCTCCATGGAAAGTTAAAAGCAGAGCTAAATAGAGATACCATTATAGGAGGAAAATGGCACGAACATTTTTCTAGTTAAAAACAATATTGTTATTATATAAGTATAGCTCATTATACGTGTATGTTAATTTCTGTCCTGAACTTCAAGATATAAAGCAGACTGAGAATTTCTATTCACTCTTGCTTATCGTGGAAGCACAGGGGATATTAAGTTTGGTAAGAGGATTAGTGGATGCCCAGGGTCTGGGTCTAGAGTGGGACTTCATGGCGTGATTGCAGCCTACATAGCCCATACAAACACTAAATGCTGCAGCTGTGTGTGCTAAAGAAAGGCAGAAAAATCCCAAACCACCTTTATTTCGGGAAAATGGCTAAGAAAAGCAGGCCTGTTAGAAAACAGCTCTGTACTATCCAGCTACATAAGAGTAGGGGTGTGGGGCTGAAAAGCCCCATGTCCATCAGGTCCAAGTGGCACAACAGCCTGGTAGGTGAGCAGATGGTGAAAGCAATTTCTGAACCTGTGTTCATTGCAAAAAATGGCTTGTGCTCCTTCCTGTGCAAATGCTCCCTGACTATGAATACCAGAAATCAAACTGGTCCTTATTGCCACAACCCAGAAGGAACAGCAGAATGAGAGAAGGGCTGGAAATAATGAAAAATGTTTCTCTATCTGAAACTCACTATTTTTCTAGCTACTAGGGTTACTCCTGGTCCTTCAGCTTCTGCTCACTGTGGTGATAGCAGGAATTTAACCCGAATCTGCCACTCCTCTTACTCCACCCCTTTAGGTAACGGAGGGAGAAAAGCAAAGCCTATGGGCTGAGATAACATTTTACTTGTTTATGTTGCACAAAGCAACGGAATAAGAAATGCATAATAACAAGCACAATATTAATAATGAGAGTATGCAAAACCAGTGGGTGTTTTACTTACAAAAAGGTGTTCACCACCAGGATCAAAACCAAAATGATGGACCCTTGTAGGTTGTGTCCACATGGATCAGACGGTGACCGTTCCTGCACACCATGTCCCATGGCCACCAGGAACAAAGGCAAGATGGCAGGGGAGGCTCCCACAGCTAATGTTTCCTGCTCCCTGCCCAAAATAACAAAAAACAATGATAAACAAACCCTCTGGAAGCTGTATCACCTGAGATGGGTCACACTGCCTCTCCACTGGGCTCAGCTCCACTTCCTTCCACCAGATCAGATTGCTCAGAGCCCCTTTGAGCCTGGCCTTTTCACACTGTGTTCACGGGCAAAACTCCTTATTCAAGGTGTGCATGACAGCTGGAACAGTCATTAACTCATTAGTCTATATTTCAACAATGTATGACTGTGACAGTTCATTTTCTTAGAACAGTGATTGACTTACGATCTTGTCAAAGTCCTCATTGCTCTGATGAGCAGAAGCTGTAATTTAGCTTAAGGATGGGCAGGGCTGTCCCCAGCCAGAAGCAGAGCAGGTAGCAGCTTCATCCTCAACACAAGCAGCCTGGCTTCTTCCTCATGGATTAAGTGAACCCTGGGCAGGTCTCTCCCCATCTCCTTTCAAGGGCATGTGTGGCTCCCACTCAGCAATTTGTGGGGCAGCAGCACTGGCCTAGTTGCCCTCACTCTCTGCAGATGAACCCAGGACTGAACCAGTTCTTTCCTCCATGGGAATGAAGGCACTTTTCAGTGAGAAAACCATTAAAAAGTATCTTCAGTTTCACATGTTACACCTGAATAATACTTTCTCTGTTTATTAACTAATAATTAAGAGTTTAATAATCAGCCAATATTTGTAAACTAGTAATTCATTATTATTTGTATACTTGCAAGTTGATTATTCAACGTATACTCACAATATTAAACTATGACACTCATAATCAAGTGATCACAACAATTTATTTACAACCATCTCAAGAGTCCCCCTGGTGCTGCAGAGAGCAGGAACAGAACTCCATGCCATGCTATGCCTATGATCATGGTAGGAGTTGGACAGCATCAGGCAGCTGGCAGTCACCTTGTGCAGGCCTGTCCCCTTGGCCTCTGGGAGCTGCAGAGAGTGCAAGAGTTAGCAATGCCTGGGTGTAAGAAATCAAGAAAGGATGGCAAGAGACCCGAATGGATTAGCTGAGACCTGCTTGTCAAACTGAAGGAAGCAGAGACAGGTATCCTGGAAAGTGTATAGGAACACTGCCTGATTGTGTAGGGATTAGGTCAGGAAGGGTAAGGCATGGCTGGAGCTGAACTGAGTGATGTGTGCCTGCAGCTCAAAAATTCAAATGTGCCAAAAAGCCATATGTGCCCTGGGTTGAATCAAGAGAAGCATGGCCATCAGGTCAAGGGAGGTGAGTCTGCCCCTCTACTGTGCTCTGGTGACAAGCAAGTCTAGAGGAGTCCACAGAAACAATCAAAGGGCTAGAACACATCTCTCATGAAGAACAGCTAAGAGAGTTGAGTTTGCTCAGCCTGGAGAGGAAAATACTCCAAAAAGACCTTATTTTGGCCTTTCAATACTTTGACTAGACATTTTTTACAATAAGGGTAGTGGAATACCAGCAAAGGTTGCCTTGAGAGGTCGTAGGTGTTCCACCCTGGAAACATTCAAGGACAGGTTGGACAGGCTCTGAGCAATTTGATCTATTTGAAGATGTCCTTAATGACTGGGAGGGTGGACTAGGTTATCTTTAGAAGTCTTTTAGAACACAAAATAGTCAATAATTTTATTATTGTTAAAAATCTGATTCTATGCATCAGGAACAAGCAAATGACATGAGATGAGGGGATGTGAAGACTACAAAGCTGCCTGAAATAAAGTATTACCAATGGTTTTGACCAGCAAAATCCATGACACAGAAGAAGAGAGAATAATATGACTGGAGGACAGCTAAGAATTTGAAACACTCTCTTTAAGGCTGTTCCATGACCACTCTGTGGAGCAAACTGTTTCAGGGACTCTTTAATGGGAGTGTGTACTGTTTGGAAAAGAATCTACTGTAAATATCAATGCTCAATAACCAACTCATACCTCAATCAGCAACCATATGCTTTATGTTACATATATGGCATCCACTCAGCACCAAGTTTGGAAAAAGTAGAAGCCCCCAGGCCAAGAACATATTACAAATACAGAAGAAATACAGAAGTAATACCAGATCATTGATGCCTTTTTTATTTTTTCTTCTCACCCTTAAGGTAAATATGTAAAAGAAGCTCCTGTACTACTAGAAAAGGAAGCTGAATTAGATGCATCCATCATGTGCCACCATAGGAAAGTAGACAGGGATGCACAGGTAAAAGGATGTTATCATAACACTCTGTTCAAGTTTTGTAGTCTGTGATGTGGTGAGGTATTCCAATTCACCTTCAGGCAGGCTGCAGACAGAGGGTAGAAATGTCTCCCCTGTTCTTTAGGGGACAGCCAAGCATTGGGCTGCCTCTCCAGAACATCTCTTGCAGGTTGTACTCCTCTCTGCCAGCCCTACAATAACAGAGATCCTTGTCCAGGCAAAATGAACATCTAAACTCTTTCTAGATACAGGCTTAGTGCAGGGCACACTCAGAATTACAGCTTGACACATTTGCAGTTGTCTGACTGTGCAGTTTTCCCCTTCTCCTGCAGAAACCAACCAAACAACCACACTCTCCTGCTGAAGAATCCAGGTCAGGATCTGTATTTAACTCCTCTCTTCTGTGTATGTACAAAGGCATTACCTGCTTACTGTGTAATTAGGTAGATCATCTAATTTTGCTGCACCTATTATTTTTGCTTGTTTCTGAGTACCACTTTAAAACTCTTCCTTGATTTTGTTGCATGAGGTGTGACACAGAAGAAGTTTGTCATATTTTGTTCTTTCTGGAGAAGTGCCTGAGCAGCTTCTGGTTTGTGTAGGCAACTGTTCTACTGGTGTGGGACCTGAATAAGATGTTGAGCTCGGATGACAGGCTCCTGCAAAGAGCACATGACTTACAGGGTGTCACGGCAGTTTAATTCTCAAAGTTGAGGGGATTTTCTTGTTAGCAAAAGCTGCTTTGTTTTCTGACATGTGGGTTCTATGGACTTGCTGCCAAATACATGGAGTCATACTCTCAAAAGGGCTTATACATTACCAGTGTGAATTTTTTCTCCTATGATTTATGATTTAAGTGCCTAAATTTCATTTTTGAGACAGAGTCAGGGAAGTATTTTGGAACCTAAAGTTATAAAGTAGCTCAGCAGAAGGATTATCAAAACAACTCATAAATGCTTCCAAATCTGCACCATTGGGACAGTTTTGAAGACATGCACTTGTCAACACCCTTGTGTTCTTTTTAGTTTTCAAAAATTCAAGAGTTCCTGAGTGAGGAAGAGGTTATTTGAATATAAAGTTTATTTCAAAGTATGGAATTTTTAAAAATGCAAACTTCTTCTAAAGCACTAGAATCTGGCGGTGATTTGAAAAGGGGAGGGGGAATGAGGGGTTTTTTTTCAAAAATATGAAAATTTTCATGGTAAAAATAGAAACTAATCTCTTTGATACAAACCAGTCTCTATTCCTTACGTCTCCTCCCATGGGTTCTTCATAGGAAGAAACAGTGCAGCTAGGCAGGGAGCAATCACCCCTGAGGGCTGGTACTCAAGGAGGCAGATGGCCTCTGAAAGCAGCCAGCATGTGACCATGGCATGTTACTGCCCAGACCAGATCCACAGCAAACAACATCCCTGCAGCTTCCAGACATGTGATATACCCTGATTCCTCATGGCAGTGAAACAGCCTGGCAGGGAACTGACTGGCTGTCTTAGCCAGGGGTTCTGTGGTAGCATGATCCTCCTGTGCTGTTTAATGTTCCCTGCACTGTGCTTCACCAGCACCACCACACACAAGCTCTTGGGCATGACCTCTGTCCTCTTCCTCTGGCCTCAGCTTCTCATTACAGAAAGCCATGTCAGCAGCAGTGCTTCCTCCCTAACTTTTGCATTTTAAGCCTTTGAGTAAGTGAGTACACAACTTTCATTTTTTCCTGCTCCATCTCTATAGACAGATAGGGTGACAAAGGAAGGTGTCACTGCACACAAAGCAGAAGGAGATAAAAACAGAAAGCAGCAACTTTCATTCTCCCCATTTACAAATAATTTTGTTTCTCATCAGTCCTTGGTAGCAGGCCTCCTCCCCAGTTTGTATTTCTAACTAAAAAATGGAGCACTGCCTGCTCAAGACTAAAATTGCCAGAAAGAGATCTCCACTCTCTCAAAGCCAGGTGAAAGCTGTGTGTCTCTCTACTGAGCAGAACGGGGGAGGGAAGTAGCAGAGATGTGTCTCTGGGCTTCCTGTTTCTAGCAGTCTGCTTTTAGCCACTGTCAGTTGTAGAATGCTGCTTGTTTAGTGCATTTCCAGACCATGAACAGACCCTGTCTCCTTAGGAGACAATTCCTTTGTCATGGCATTGCTCTGCTAACACACCCTCCACACTGCTGGTACCAGCTACCTTTAACTGCAGAGATGTTTAATTACTTGCAGAGCTCATCAGTGGGGTGCTCCCACTCACCTTACATTTTCCTTTAGAATTTACTACTCCTGCTGCAGACTACAAAAAAGGAAACCTTTCATGCCCAAAGGTGGGGCTGCTTTTTTTTGAATACTGGCTGGCTTGGTTTAGAGAAGATGAGGGTTAAACCTGCACGTCTAACATTGAATACTTAGGCTCTCTATATGCTCCATACACATTTCATATGCAGGGCACTATGTACTGGGAGATGCCTCAGCAATCTGACACGGATGCATTTCAACAATGACAGAGCTGACCTATATAAAATAAAATGCGTGTTAGTGTAATGCACGTACAAAGCCAACTTTCACAATAGCAATTTTAAGTTATCACGGCTTTACAGCGTTTACTTGTTCAATGCATTTTAAAACATAGTGATACAATCAGTAGACTTCAGCTTTTGTTTGTTAGTATACAAAGGAAAACATCAAGATGCTAACAAGAATATAAGTTACATGGATGATCAAAGGGTACTGACAGTAAAAGCCATACTCTGAAGTGTGTGAAAATTTAAATATGGGTTTTACAGTCTTTCTATGAATCATATGGATAGCAAAATAGGAAAAAGCCCTCAACAC